GGCCGCGCTCCCGCCGCCATCGAGGTGACTGCAGTGGCCGATGAAGCGGAGCACAAGTGAAAGGAGGGACTTGCCTGGAGGGACGCTGGCCGTGCCGCTCTGGGTGGAACTGCCTTTTCTCTGGCTGCAGGGCAGGACGAGGAGCGGTGTAACGAGGGCATGTGTTAGCGAGACTCAGAGCGGCTCACATTGGTAATGAGGAAGTGCAGGTCAGGGAAGGAGGGTGAGGAAAGATGCCTGGAGAAGGGAAAGGCAAAAATGCTCTGCCCCGTTTAGAGGAGAGAAGAAAAAAAAAGCTTATTTTTTTTATAAAGCTTTCCTCTCCTATTCTCTTGGAATAGTTATTCTGTTCTAGCTCATCAGCCCTGCCTCGTCTGCAGGTGTAGCTGGAGCAGTGTCCATTAGAGGAGCGGGCAGGAGCAGGGGTGTAGGGCAGGGAGAAGATGGCAGCAAAAGGAAGAGCAGGCAAAGCGCTGAGCAGGCACCGATCGGCTGCCGAGGGGTCTGGCGTGAACTGATGGGAGGTGTCGGGGAGCTGGGTGCTCCCCATCCCCGAGGGGCTGCAGGGAGGGAGAGGGGATGCCGACAGTGGGTTGTCCATGGGATGTGTGTGGTCATCGAAACCGGGAAGAGACTCTGTATGGCAGCACGGGCATGAGCCCTGGGAGGTTGGCTTCTGCATGTGATGCTGGCTACGGGTGGCACAAACAAGCGGGAGCTCTTGTGACGGTGGTCGTGGTGGGTTGCCCAGGTCTGCTGGGGGAAGGAGAGGCAAGAGAGAAACCCAGAGGGCTGGGAAGAGCTGTAACTTCTGAGGATTTAGGATTTCTTTCTAGTTTTCTCAAAAAAAAAAAAAATCCATTTTTGGGGATTTTTTTTAAGCAAACGGCAATTTTTAAGCAAAGCCCTTTGGTTGTGAAGATCATGCTGTTTGTTGAATGTGCAGAGAGATGAGCTGAACGGCAGCGCTCTGAGGAGCTTGCACTTATTAACGAGGTGTGACCCTGGTGGAGGATCAGGCTGGTCCCCAGCATCTCGCCAGGGGCCTCATCCCACGGCTTGGAGCAGCCGTTCTGTAACGGGGCAGTCGACCCCCCCAGTACTCCTTTGACCGTTCAGCTTGCTGTGAGTCTCCCAGCTGCCCTGTTTCAGGGCACGCGTGCGGCTGCAGCGATGTTCGTGCTGTCTCCGGCTGGAAGGAGTCGGGTGCTTGAAGTGTTGGGGTTTCTACAAACTTGATCTGGCAGCAGCAGCAGCAGCGACAACAGGTCACTTTAATGAGCTAATAAATATTTTTTTGAAAGAGCACTGATGGTTTACTGTTTTTCTGTGTCTGGTTGCTACAGCTGGGGTTGCAAAGCGGGGCTAGGTTGGGGCAGGAATGTGCTTTTCACTTTTTTTTAAATATAAATGCACACATATGTGTACTGTATGTATACTGCTCTCTGCACATGTGCAAAGATGCTCCAGACCCTTGAGCATGGTGGCAACGTTGTGATGCTCTCTGACTGTATCCTGGGTGCTTAAGGAGTGTCTGGGTTGGGACGCACCGCTGTGTTTGGGAGGTTTATTAACCACAGGGAAGATAAGGGGGTGTTCCGTTTGTCTGAATCTGCTAGCTGTGTTTGGGGGTGCTGGTCTGGTAAAACACTGGGAGGAGTGAAACTTGAGGAAGAACCCTTAGGGTTTGTTAAAGGAAGACAAGAACTGAGTTTTGCATTAGGAGAAGGTGATTCTCCTCTTGGAGGGAGGAAGAGAAACTTCTCGGTGCTGGTGCTGACCCTGCCAGACATGTGAGTTTGAGCAACTTCGGTGCTACCGCAGTGAGCAGGAGCAGCTTTATCGCAAATGTGTTCATGGTATAAAAGGATTTCTTTTCTTTTCTTTGCAGATGATGCTTTTAATTTCAGGAACTGGAAAGATTGCTGCCACCCCGCAAGCCTGGTAGAGACTAGGCTGGATGAGAGCAGCAGCCATGCAGAAGATCTTCTATGGTCAGCTGTTCCGGCCGAGCTAGGAGCTGTGGCCATGCCGGTGTGTCCCGGTGCTCCGGGGAGGCACCGTGGGAGCAGGGGATGGAGCGGAGAGCTCGTGTGCTCCGGGGGAAGAGCCCAGAGACGTGGCTGTGCTGCAGCTCCGCTTGAAGCGGATGCTTGGCTCTTTCCCACAGCAGCAGACGGATGCTGTGTGTCTGCGTGGAGGCAGAGCCCGTTTCTCAGAATCCCTCTTTGTTAGCCGCAGGGTCGTTGTTCAGAAACCTCTAGTTCTGTGTGTCACAGCCCCAGCGAAACCATTAAATCAACCCAGTATTGGCTAATTCTGTCTCTTCTGCCAGGCCGGCTGGCTTTCACTTCCTCCCGGTAAATAAATATTAACTCCTGCCTCACCCCAGGGAGGGGGTCAGCACGGCCAGGCTGGCCCTTCCGTGGGGACGGAGGTGAGGAGGCGTGTGGGGCTGGGGGGGTTGCTCCGGTCTGGTGTCTGCTCCGCAGCCAGTTCAGCCGCGGTCGCTGGGGTGGATGGGCGAGGATGTGGCTCAGCGGTGCTGGGTGCTCCGGTGTTCCCTGGCCCTGCATTGGGCACCGAGGTCCCTGGTGCTCCTGGAGGACAGGGAGGAGGCTGCAAGGGGGCTCTTTGTGCCTCTGCGGTTGGGTGAAGGTTCCCACATCCTCTCTTGCGGGCGGGAGCTGCTGTAGCTTCAGCAATTGGTACTTTCGGGGTTTTCAGCAATTTTAGTGTATAATGAGTTGTTTTCAGATCCAGCCCTGGTGAGATGGACATGGCCATCAGGAGGGAGAGGGTTGCAAAAGGAATGCTTTGCAGGTGTGGGGAGGCAGAGTTGCCTCAAAAGGCTTTTCAGGTTTGAAAGGATGCTGGGGTGAGGTGGGCAAACAGGAGAGGGATGTCTGTCCATCCCTCCTCTGTGCCCGCTGGTGCGTGGGGAAGCTCTTGAACGCTTTCTGGTCCAGCCTGCGCATCCCCAAGTTGCAGTGGATGCTGTGAGCTGTGGCATGTTTCTGGAGATAGTTTAGGTGTCTTTAAAAAAGTTGGGTTTTATGAATTCTGCACATCTTCTCTTGTTCAGGGACACTCAGACCACTTTGTGTTTTAATTTTTCCACCCTTTGCCTGGGATTTGAATGTGGGTGGATGCAGCATCTTTCAGGGAAAAATCTCCTTGCAGCTGTGCCTATGCTGAAATCTGCATCCTGACACAGTGCAGGGAGGGTGGTGGGGTGGCGGGACTGTCCCTGGACGCCTGGGCTTTGCTCATGGCACTCTGCCATCTCTGATACTGGCATCAAACTCCGCACCGGACACCCACTGCCATGCTGCCCGTAATGTCCTGCCTGCAAAGTGCCAGTGTTAATTTAGAAAAGCACACGGTGGTTATGAAGCTGAGCCGAGCGCTTTTCGGGGTGCCGTGCGGGGCCGGGCTGTCCCTGGCACGAGGAGAGTGTGTGCAGGGTTGCTGAACCCAAAACGTGGCTCCAAAGTCTGGTCATCTGCAGGGCGGACCCGGCTGCACCCAGCACTGATAACCACCAGCTCCTCGAGCTGCGTTTAGAAGAGTTATGACATGCAATCAGGAGGAAAAATGATTTACTCTTCTTAAGCATTAGACTCTGTTTTGTTTTGGCTGAGCCTGAACCCGGGGCCACAGCTGATTAGGAGTCCTGGCCTAATCAGAGGCTTTGCCCTCTCAGGCTACCTGCTGTTAAGATATCGTTGTCGCTTCTTCCTTGCTATCTTTGTACTTGGGACAGCGTTTGTATGTAAGACCAAGGAAATATAAAGGGTTGTGATCACCGTGAACCTCTTCTTACCTCTCCAGCATGAACAGCGGTGCTGAGCCGGGCTTGGGGGTGCATTTCTAGCCCAAAGCCCTCTGGTCCCACGCTGCGACGGTGAGTGAAGGTCCCTCGTGGCCACAGGGACGCCTTCCCCGAGCAGTGCTGGGGCCTGGAAAGCGTTGGTGCGTTTGCCCAGCCCTTGAGAGCTGCGGGCTGAGCACCCTGCACCAGCCATCGCTGCTTTGGACAAACCCATCCAGGTTATCGAGGGGCTGTGGGTTGAGAGGGGACGGGGATGGCTGGAGGGGCCTCCTGGTTCCTCTTTAAGGGTGTCTGAGAGGTGGCATCTGAGCGTGGGGTGGGGCAGGGTTTATGGCATCTCCATGTTGGTGTGAGCAGTACTGGGGACACGGCAGCGGGGTAGCAAGTGCCGGGGCAGAGCGGGCAGGAGGCAGCTGCTCTTTCCTGGCTCCACACACCTTTACCTGCCCCGGAGACTATAGATCACTTTGCCAGCAAAACGTTCCCAGCGTGGGGGTGTACTTTGCCCTGCAAGGCAATGCTTCGTAGGGACGTAAACAGCTCCCCAAGCAATAAAAGCTCTGCTGGCACATCTCGTCTGGTACAATCCTCCCCTCCCTTTACAGCAGCTTCTGAGGTGACCGAGCAGGGAGGTGCTGGTGGTGCAGCCCTGTATCCCCAGAGAGACCAGCTGTGATGCCCTGGGATCGGTTCCCTGGTAGTGTGCTCCATCCTGGGGTGGCTGTGCTTCTCCTGAGAGTGCTGCTCCTGGCTCTTCCTTGCTCTCTGAAGAGTGGCTGGATACTTGCAGGGCTGTCGGTAACTCATAGGGCTGGGGCTGAGGCTTGAGAAGGAAAAGCAAGGGGAAGTCATCTATAGCAAGCTGTAAATAGAGGTTATTGGTGTGCGGATACTTGGCCTTGGGCTGGACGCAGCGAGGATGTGGCCACTGGGGCTTGAGCAAGACCCCCCCCGGCTGGGGGGAAGGTCCCATAGCGGGCTGTGCGGTTGGTTTGTCTCCTGGTTCCTCAGCCCTGGTTTCAGCAGGGGGGTAAAGCCTCGCTCGTGGGGAGCAAGTCATCTCTACAGTGCTGATGGCAGCACCGAGATCTGGGGCTCTGTGCTGGGGAGAGCCCCAGACCTGCCCTCCCAAGCGAGTCTGT